AGTAACACTTTCAAAAACAACTCCAAAAACACAACCAATTCAAATTTAACTTAAAAAACATAGTAAATAAATAAACCATATCACATTTCTTCTTCCACTTACCACCACCACGTACCACACACCACCACCAATCACCATCAACACCCTCCAACCCCTCCTCATTCCTCCTCTCTTTCCCTACATTTCCTCCCCTCCCTTTCCCTTTCCTTCTCTAGCCGCACCACAACCAAATCTGTTTGCAACCTTCTAGTCTCGGCCAGAGAAGGAAGGGAAGGAGGGGAAGGAGCGTACGAAGAGGAAAGAGGAGAGAGCAGGAGGGATGGTGGGTGGGTAGTGCATTGTAGTGATGGTTTGGCATTCAATTTAAAAACTATCTCAAAAATTAAAATTTAAAAATATTCTAAAATACTCTAAAAACATCCAATCATTTATTATAAAATTTTCATATACACTACTATATAAAATTTTTGAAAAATATCCTAAAACAACCTATTCAATATGGAGTCAAAAAAAAAAAAACTCGTCGGGTATGATATTTGCAAGCAACAATACAAACAAATTACTACAATTATCTAGTACGGATATAAATGACTAAAAAATTTCTTCCACCAAATCCAGATCCAATGGGGGTCTAAGCAAATATTAAAATATTAGCTGGGCAGTTCACCAACACAATTGAGAACGTGTGAAGGGAAGAAACCCCCCGTCTAGCTTTGTCGGTAATTGACAGCGAAACTATTACTCGTATTCATTAACCAAATCGCCCCTAGCAATCATTATATAAACAAATGACAATAAAAGAAACCTTGCTTTTAAAAAAGGCAAATTATTCATAATCATTAAATTTTTTGTATAGCCATTAATATTAATAGTAATATTTTTACTCACTAAACCATTAAAATTGTAAATTTCGACCATTTCATCTATTTCACAGTCAATTCGATTAAATTTAACTATTAATAGTTATCTCGTAAATCTGTGAATCCTTAAATCTAGCAGAGCTAACGGTGGAATTAAACGGAATGATTCAAAATTCACGCTTCTGATTATTCAATGGATAAAAACATATTATTAATAGTTGAGTGGCCAAATCTTGACTATTAAAATAATTTAGTGATTACCGGGATAATTTAATCTTTAAAAAATGGGGTAACTGGCCTTTTCCGCTTGTCAAAAATGCTTTGATTTATCTGTCCCTGAGAAAATATGCTGCATGTTTATGTTAGTAAAACTTATAGGTAAATCTAACGATCCAAATATCTGTTGCTATACATAACTGTTCATTATTTGGAATCATGTTTAAAAATAATATTATAATAATTTTTCTAATATGATTTATTTAAAATACGAAAATAGTTGAAAAGATGAAAAGTTGATCTGGTGATGCAACTGATTTTTTTTTTTTTTCTAAATAATGAACTATCTCCTTTTTCAGTTTTGCAAATAAAGTTTACAAAGCTGGTGAGAAGTTAGTTTAGACGTGAAAAATCAAAAGTTAGTTCTCCCACTTCCCCCTCCCCGCTTTTTAAATCCTACCCATTTCCTACTAAAAAAATTTATTACAAAAAAAGGCTGGTGTAGATGAACTAACTTCAACTTCAAGATAGGTTGGTGTAGAAAAATTACAAGCAGAAAAGACGCAACAATAACTTTTTACAGCGACTTTATTATGCAACTTCTAGCTGAAGCTTCAAGATTATAGTTTATCAAATTCGATTGGCTTTGGAACAGATTAATGTTCAATCCAAACACAAAAGTGTTCATGGTTATGAATTGAATTTCTAAGTCTATTTTTTTTAGACCTGGCCTTGTTTGGTAAGTGAGTTTTTTGGTGTTTGTCTAAAACTTTACTGTAACTTACTGTAGAAACTGTAGAAAATTTTTTTGAAGTGTGTAAATTTTTAAATATTTTGAAGTGTACGTAGAGTTTAAAAGTTTGAGAATTTTTTTGAGGTTACTGTAGCTAAAACTGTTAAAAAACTTGTAGCAGACAAGCTTGGCCAAAATTCTAATGTAACAGTAGTTTTACGTATTTAAATCTGTGAACCCCATTTTATAAGATTTTGGTGCATATATATTTCTTCCGATTTTTTTAGCAGAGCAGGCTTATGTTTTGACCGGATGATACATAAAATTTTCTGTACAAATATGTGACTAGCATTTTTTTTCATCCACTATATGCCAGCTATAGCACTATAGTTGACAGAAGTTTGAAAAAACTGCATAGTTAATTATCTGATTATCGATCTAATATTCTGAAAATGACATCAGAACTAATTAAGCATTTGATGTAAATGATTGGCCGGGGAAGAAATAAACAACATAATAAGTTTTTTGACCTCAGCTTAGATTCTAAACCTTGTTAGATAATTAGATATTAAAGAGATAGATTTGTATATCACAAAGATCACCAGTTGTGCCCAAAAGTGATGACCAGAATAATTATATGTCAAATCCAAAACTAGTTAGGATTGAATTAGTTGAGACATAAACATCCAAAGTAAGCTAAAAGAACTACCAAAAAATATATATAAGTGATTATGCCCAGGAAAATAACTCACATACAGCTCATATGTTATGGTTTTCCAAAATTAATCATTTGTGACCCCATTACAGCTCATATGTTATTAAAAAGTTTTCACATCAAGCACTAAAACAGCACTTGATAATTTATGCTGAAAGAATCCAGCTATTAAATGAGTTCATTTTCAAGATTTTTATGCAGTTTGTTCATCTAATTATCAAAGGATTCAAAACTAAGACCATATATAAACAAATACAGCAAGAATTTCGTGCAAGCCAAAATAATCACTATGAAAATTCCATAGTGATAATACAAATTATACAATGCCATGATCACTAATTAGAGTTGAAATCCCTTTTATTTTATAGATAGTATAGTTTCTCCCAGTACCACTCAATACACATTTATAGACCGTGACGATGACGTTGTTTAATTTTGGATTTCGATGGAATAGGTTTTCATCAACACGAAAGCTTTTAGACACATATCACAAAATAAATAAATGCTTATTTCTTGTTTGATTGGACGATATATATCATCACTCTATTCTCCAATATAAACATATCATAGAACATGAAAACTACTCAAATTTTGATATTTTTGTGTTGCCAAAAACTACTAAGGAAAAATGGGGCCTTCGGTCTAAGCCACTTAGTTGGATATGTTGGACTGAATTTGTTCTTTTTTGTTTGAGACCAAAACTGGATATGTGTTGTCCATCTTTGGCCCAATACATCTTCATTAATACAAATTGTAAACCCACCAGCTCTTGCAACACGTTTGGAGCGAGGGAGCCCACATCCCCCCGCCATTACCTTAAATCTCCCTGATCCGTCGCTATCCCTTGCCTTGCATTGCGAATTCCTGCCATTGCTCCATTAATATTTTATTTTTTTATGTGACTTATTTTTATATTGTATAACACTAATAATAAATTTACTAATTATTCTTTTGAATATTTGATAAACAATCTATATAATATAAAAATTAAAATTTATTTTGACCTTGTGTATCTGTTTCTTTATATTTGATATTATATAAATTCTAAATCAATTATAATTATTTTTTAATAAACATATGCATAGCAAAAAAGCAAACAAACATAACAAAAATTTTACCCCAAAATTTAACAAAAAATTATACTATATCCACCAGAAAATATCATATTCTTCAGTTTATATTACATATATATTATTATATTATATTATATATTTTATACACTGTTAGTATAAAATTTTTTTTTTATACAAGTAGATTTAGATCATGCCACACGTAACATGAATTCAAATTTGAAATTCAAATCATGCACATGTGACATAAATTCAAGATTATTAGTATAAAAAAAATCACTATATTGTCAGCACATAAAAGCTAATCCCGTGTATTATATATACATGATATTAAACTAAGACAGGGGCTGAGCCAGGAAGGATTCCCTTTGCATTTTTTTCGCCCCATTGAACTCACCCGCGAACACCTACCCCTGTTACCATCCCTAACCCCAACTTCTTAATTATCGTATGGATTGACTCATCATCGTGTTATTTCTTTGTAGTTTTTAGCTTTATAGCTTCCATCTGACCAAAAAAAAAAAGAAAAAGTAATCTTGACCGGTAAAAAAAAAAGATAAAGTGATAAAAAATTATTTTTAACAGACCAGGGCAAAATCTACTTGCTTTATTATTATTTTTTTCCCTACCTTCTCGCCTCTCTCCACATTCAACCGCCAGTTAGGTACAATCTTGAACTTGTAAGCAGGGAAGAGTCTACATAATTCCACTTGCTAGCAATATTGGTTGTAAATAGGCCTTAGGTTTTTGTTTTCGTTGACACACAAGCCACATGTATAATAGTACGATTAATTTTCTGTACATTTACACTGTACATACAGATATATGACAACTAATTTAAATTTAAATTTAAAATCCATATTTATATATGTATCATACATCCAACTATAGTATATACATTTTCAGTGTATATGAAAGTAACTCAGAACTATATTGTTGAACAATGAGAGTGAATACTATGAGATTTTTTTTAGAACAAATTTGGACTGTGTGATATATTAGATAGAGGATGTAGTGAAAAAGTAGAGAATGAAGAATGGGGTCTTTTTTTTATTTTATTTTATCTAACGGGTAAATCTTTTATGCACTGAAAGTGCATATGCTATTTTTTTTCCAACAATAGTTAAGAGGAAGAAATTAAACCTATTTCCTTAATCCAACTCAAAAGGCAATTGCTGACTTCCGAGAGTGCATATGCTAGCTGATCTAGATATATGCCACATATACAAAATCTGACGTTCAAATTCAAATTCATGTGATGTGACACTTATCCATCCCTGCTAGTGTATACACTGACGGTGTAGGAAAAATTAATCCTTTATCTAACAACACTTTAGTCATAAAGTTGGAGTCGCTTTGTTAATCATTTTTTTTCCTTAGAATTAACATGGGTACGCTAATGTAGATTAATTTTAATTTTACCATATAGGAGCTATTTGATTTCTTGAAATTTCTACAAGGCTGTGTGAGCAGCGTAGATTCTACATTTGAGTCTCATTTAGATAGCATTACTATTGATCAAGTTGCTTTTATCCCCAGCTACAAATCTATACATTTCCCCATTGACCTGAATGATACTACATCCAGCAGTCTTGGTAATACCAGAAGCATTCATCATATTCATCCATCTGTTAGCCTCTTCCAGATTCTTGCAAGAAGCATACAAGTTAGCCACCATCATATACTCCCCATCAGTTAAACTTCCATTTCTTTTCAACAACAATTTCACCACTTTCTCTCCAATTTCAGTATCCCTATAAATCACACAAGCACCAAGCAAAGCACCTACAATGGATTTTCCCGGTTCGAACGGCATCGACTCAATCAGTTGGAATGCATGACATAGAAATCCAGCTCTTCCCAGAAGATCAACAATGCATCCATAGTGTTCCAACTTTGGGTTTACTGCACATTTCTTCTCCATAGAACTGAAAAGCTCAAGACCCTTGTGTACTAATCCTGAATGACTACATGCACTAAGCAAGCCAATGAAGGTTATGTCATCAGGCCTTAAACCTTTCCCTTTCATATCATCAAAGAGTTTAAAAGCAGCAGATGCTTGACCATGAAGAGCAAGCCCTGAAATCATTGCGTTCCAACCATAGATATCCATGACTTGGGACTTATAGAAAACCTGTAAAGAACTCAGAATCCTTCCACATTTAGCATACATTTCTATCAAAGCAGTTGTTACGTGTGCACTTGATGTTAGTCCCTTCTCTAGAGCAAAAATGTGCACTTCTTCACCTTTTTCGAGCAATCCCAAGCTGGCACAGGCAGATAATACATTGGTAATTGTTAAGTAATCTGGATTATACTCCTTTTCCTTCATTTCCTCAAACAGAGCAATCGCAGAATCAAAGCAATTCCTGCCTAAATAGCCAGCAAGCATTGTGTTCCATGTGATGATATTTCTCGAGGGCATTTGATTGAAAAATTTCCTTGCTCTCTCCATTTCTCCAGCATTACAACAAGCTAAAATCATTGCGTTCCACGAAATCGTGTCTCTTCTTGGAATTATGTTGAAAATATTTTCAGCCAATATCATGTTCCCACTTCTAGCATATCCAGACACCATTGTGTTGTAGGAGAAAAGGTCCTTACAAGGCATTGAACCAAAGATACTCGTTGCATCCTCCATCTGACCTGCAGCAGCATATGCATCTAACATTGAGTTCCAAACAACGATGTCTTTTGTGGTAATCTGCTGAAAAACCCTATAGGCATCCTTGCTGCATCCAAAACTTGAGTACAGATTTACCAATGCAGTTTGAACAAAAGAATGATTACAGAAAACATTTTTTATTATCTGACCATGAAGGGCTAATCCGAGTTTGTCCAGCGAAAGATTTGCAGCTGCTTTCAGCAAAATGGGATATGTAAAATTATCAGCAAAATGACCAAGTTCTTGCATATGTATGAAACTTAGAATAGCTTTCTCGTGACACCCCTCAAGCACTTGCTTCTTTATGATTTTGTTCCAAGATTGTAAAGAAGTTGGAAGAACAGGACTGCTAGAAAGCACAGCCATTCAGTTCTTGGAATTCCAGAAAAGCTAGCTGGGAAGGTTGGAAAAGCATTGCAATGCTTTCACATATCCATGCTTGTATTATTAATTTATTACTTTCTTTGGATAATGTTCTTTCAAGAATATTATCTGTGGCTACTGACAAGCAACTACAGCCACACGCAGGCAAGTTGCAATACAGACAGATTATAAATCTTGTGAAAAATACATATTATAGGTTTTTGCAATGGGAGCAAATATAGCTTCCCACTTGAATAGACAATTTTAAGGTGTGAATTTTTGGGGAACACGCTATAAAAAACTCTGAATATGTTTTCAACTATCTTTATATCTTACTGACACATTTATAAAAAGTGCTCTGGTAAATTTCTATAAAACACCCCAAAACCACTATCCAAATATCTTTAAAAAAAAAAAAAGTATTACTTTTTCTTTGTTGCTAGAAGTCTCCTCCCATGCTAGAAAAATTAGTTAAGAATTAAGACATATTATATTTTAGACATAAGTATTTGTATCAAAATCTCATTAATTTATGTTACATTAATCACCTCATAAACAAGCTAAATTTCTTGAAATACAACTTCAATGTTGAGTCGGTTAATCGTTTTAGCACCTAAAAAATTTACAATTTACAATAGAGAAGTACTTAGTCACTTTAATTTTGATGTGCGTGCACACGTCCACACGTTTAGTCACTTTATTTTGATGTGTGCGTACACGAACACACGTAGAGAATACACACATAAACTTTACAATTTACAAGAGAGAAGTACTTAGTCACTTTAATTTTGGTGTGCTTGCACACGCACACACGTAGAGAATACACACACATATATTTCTTGAGCAACTAGGGTTTGACCATACAAAAAATAAGTTGAATGTGTTGCCAAGATCCAGTTTCATCCGTTTATAGCATCAATTTTCACCACCTGAATGACTTCAACCCCAAAATGTGGTAATATCATACTCGTAATTAACTAAATCTTGTCAATGGTTGCTGCTCAAGGAAATGTCTAATGGTATACTTGCTTCACATAAATAGAATAAACATCAAAGAATCCATGTAATGAAGATCTACACTGTTTTTCTTTTTTTTTTTTTTGGTGAAAGATTAACAATCCATCCCTGCAACACCATTTTACACAACAGAGAAGATGAAACAACCAGCAGAGCAAATAAATGTATTCGAAAATTTATAACTTGGACAGTTTAGTTTCCATAACTTTTTGTTTCATTGCTACAACCAGTAGGCAGATATTTTACATTTCAGTTATCTGTTCACAAGACAATCTGTTGTTCGGAAAATGTTAACAAAGCTATTCTTGTTCTTAATTGCCAAGACAACTTCCGACAAGGAAATCAGATGGTCGCGTCATTAGCTGAAAATACTAGCAGCAGCTTGTCACATTACCTTTTGAGCAATCTTGGCAGGAAAAGTCGAGCTCATATTCATATCACATTAGCTTTACATAAAAGGGCTGTATGGTTGGTATAAAACATTATGCTTAACGAAATGGGATTATACTGTTTACCCACGAACATGTTCTACACCAGTAGTACTCGAGGAGCATTTCATTGAAGAAAGAAGGCGGCAGAAAGTAAAAACAAATCTCAAGGATCTAGTGCTTATTCCAAATGATGTGATACTCGAGTACGGTTATCCTTTGCCCAGTAGCTACATAGCTGCGTTCAATGGAGCGGTTGAAAGCTTATGCTGCAAGTAGCTTCTGGATATCCTTCTGTAATGTTTGAAAAGACAGGTTTGTCAGTGAAATAGAATTACTTGAACTGCTGTTAGGCGGCCCAAAAAAAAAAAAAGGAACTACAAAAAAAGAGATATTTAATAAAAGATGAGGCTTGTAAGCTTATTCAACACAGATTATGCATACAATGAAAAAGGTTGCAGAAGACAACAGCTTTTACAACCAGAACTATGTAAAACTTCAACTTAACTACATTAGAGGGCTGTCAACCTCAGACAAATCAATGAAAACAGAAAATCCCGCCAACTTCAAGATCAAAAGCAGCTAGATTAACTTCAACAAAGGGCTGAAGAGAGCAGGCTAACTCACCAAATATCCTTCGATTGATTAGACTTGGTAAAGAAATCTTATTACAAGTGAACTAGATGAGAGGGAAAAAGATAAGAGTGGAAATTAAAACATCTTAGCTTCAATGTCACATTACTGTATGATAAGTATAGCTATAATCTTGGTAGATCTCTCTCTCTCTCTCTCTCCAAGATCAAAAGCAGCTAGATTAACTTCAACAAAGGGCTGAAGAGATCATGCTAACTCCATCCATTATCCCTCAATTGATTAGACATGGTAAAGAAAGCTTATCACAAGTGAATTAGTTAAGGCAACATTATAATACAGGGAATCAAGATGTGTTTACCTCATAATGTCAGTAAAGTGTATGACAAGTTTGGCTTCTATATTGGCAGATCTCTCTCTCTATCTCTCTCCCCTTTTCCCTTTGAAGTTGTAAACAAATTTTGCTTAGAAGTTTTTCATATATACGTCCATGACAGAATATTCTCATGATAGGGTCCACATGAAGTACAACAGCCACATATGTCAACACAAGTCCACGGTGTGATTTTTATTAATCAGGAAAATCTCTCCATTTACATGTGAAAATAGAGGCATAGATCAAGTCAAAAGGTGAAGCCTGCAACAACTTGAACCACCAAATTTCGATGCACAACAGCTAAAACCAGACATTAATATATGTACTGCTGCATGCACTTTTAACATGATAATAAGTCTTCATTGAGTACTATTCTGAAAGCTTTTGATGTACAGATTAAGCCTCACTACTCATTCATTAGTTTTCTCATTTACCCTCATCTGTTTATGCAATAAAAATTACCACTTATTTTGCTTGCAAAATTGAAAGCTGCAATCTGTACAAAAAGATTTAAAAAAAATTAGATAAATATAGACTCCTCATAGCTACAGGAAGAAAGATCCATGAATCAGACAGATCATGTAAAAGTAGGTGCTTATAGAAGTCAGTGATGCAAGAACTATATTTTTACATTATTTACATAAAGTACTTTTTTGTTTTTGAAAAGATTTTTCTTCTCTAATGCATTTTTATCATGCACCAGTAATGGATCTCTTCAGCATTATCATGAACTCGCCATCAAAACTATACTCATAGGGCAAAATGCCTGTGACAATTCTATTTTACTTTGGAATGACGATGATCAGACTTGTGCTACATTAATAAAAGGGCCTTGCATCAGAGATGTTAATCTACAGTAGGTGAAGGAATAAATGTTGTCTCTGAAATTGCATCTGATGAATACCCAAATTATGCTCTATTCACTTCTCAAATTATCAAAATTCATTTCAATTCTGAACTAGCCATATTTAACTTTGCAAGGAGTATCACAAAGTCAATACCTCTATCTGGAAAGGAGATGTCGTAGGTGGATATCTTTGAACAACTTTGCCATTTTTATCAACTAGAAACTTCTCAAAATTCCACTTGATCAAATCACCCAATAATCCTCCAGCATTTGACTTTAAAAACTGGTAGACTGGGGCAGTATTTGGTCCATTAACATCCACCTGTTATAGAAACCTTTAGCACTTCATTAACACTGCTGAAAAGCCAAGTTGCCAAAATAGTGATGGAGAACAATATTATCCACAGCACCTTATCAAAAATTGGAAATTCTGCTTTAAACCTTGTACAGGCAAACTGTTTAATTTCTGGATTTGACCCTGGTTCTTGCCCTCCAAACTGGTTACAAGGGAAGGCTAGAATTTCAAACCCTGCATTCAGAGTTACAACGTGATCAACTAAACTGAAGCATGTAACAGATAGATATCCATCTCATCTTGATGATACCTCCATATTTACTCTTACTTAGAAACAATATGCATATGGCATTTCGCTGCTACAAACATTTCCATCCTAAAGACAACAAGAAAACACACTATGTATAAAGAAAGAATGCATAAGGATCTTAGCGCTATAATATGAGACACTTAATTGATGAATAGTTGTGCTGTGCATGTAAAAATTATGCGTGTAAATAGGATTATTAGGACTGAAATTCACCAGAGTTCAAATTGCCACCATCATCTTTCCTATTCATATTTCTGCAGAATCCAATTAGATTACATCAAAAAGGCCTAATTTGGCAGAATTTTCCATAAGTGAAGTTCCCACAGCTCACCGATTAGGTTATCTAATTGAAATGAATAAGATAAAGGCAGAAAAAGAAACCAAATAGATCAAGAAATGCATCTGAAATATGAGAAGGAAAAAGAAGAAAGAAGATGAAATAACTTATTAACCAAATGGCCTACAAATTAAGCTGATTTGAAGAAAACTTTTTTTTCAACTTCGAAGTAATGACTATACATTCATACGGCAGAGAGGAAGCAAGATAAAATCCTCACAGTGAAACACAAATATAGAATGAAAATGCTATTAAATACTATTTTACCTGCAAATGCCAATAGATATTTCAGCCATTAGGCAGCTCTATTAATCATCAATGCAAGATTGCAGGAAAGCATTGTCAATCTGCCTGAACCCCATTGATCTAAATTCATGGAGGGGATAAGTAAAACTAATTAGGCAAGGAAAAAATTGGAATACAAAAAGCTTGGAGTGAGGTCCTTATATTAGATAAGGGTAGGATCAAAACCTATGATGGATCAAGAAAAGGACCATGAGTTTGATGTAACGTGGAAAAGGACAGTGAGATTCCCTCCTCAAGTTATGATTATCCAAAACTGAATCTAGGATATTAAAGCATTTTATATTCTTTTTATCTTTCACCTTTTTTGACAATCTAGAACAAAGAATTGAACTAACCTCAATGAATTAAGATCTCAACTCTCTCTCTGGAACTTTTCAAAAGATGGAAAAAGTCATATTCAATAATAACACATGTTTAATGTAGTTAACAAGAAGAGCACAACTGAAGAGAAGCATTGTCAATGCAAGAAAAATGTAAGACTGCATGGTTTAACATTGTTGGCAACAATTTTAGGTGCAAATAACTGTACCTATGTAGGGCCAGTCATCTGCAAGCTAATTTGTGATTACAGAAAAGACT